TCCTCTTTTATGGGGTCTGGTTTTTGGAACAGTTTGTATCCTTCTATGAGTATGTTCCAGTCATGGGTTGCATCCCACAAAGTTTCTGTTATTCCAACAACTTAAGAATCTTGGGAAACTCTGAAAAGTACGATCATAAAAGCCCATACCAGCACAATACCACTGAGAAAGAAAAACAAGAAATCTGAGAAGAAACCAGCATGGCTGCACAAAGATCTCTCTGACAAATTACAAGACAAAAAGGACAAGTATAAAAAATGGAAAGAGGGACATACAACTAAGGCAGAATATCAGCAGATAACCAGAATCTGCAAAGATGAAGTCAGGAAAGCAAAGTCTCAGAATGAACAAAGACTTTCAACAAAAGTCAAAGATAATAAAAAAAAATTCTTCCAACATATAAACAACAAGAAAGAAATCAAGGAAACAGTCGGTCCACTAAAGAGAGAAGACGGCAAGGAAGTAGCAGACAACAGAGAGAAAGCAGAGCTACTTAACTCATTCTTGCATTGGTCTTCACGCAAAAAAAACAAAAAAAAAAAAACTATAGCCCAACCTACCAAAAATATAACTGTAAAATACAGACTAGAAATAAAAGTTAAAATAAGCAAAAAAAAAAAAAAAAATAGTAAGAGAACACCTGTCTGATCTTGATGAATACAAATCACCAGGACCTGAAGGATTACATCCCAGAGTTCTAAAGGAACTGGCAGAGGTCTCAGAACCACTGCACCACATCTTTCAAATATCCTGGAGTACTGGGGAACTACCAGAGGACTGGAAAAGAGCTGATATGGTTTCCATCTTCAAAAAGGGGAAAAAAACAGACTCAGGAAACTACAGACCAATCAGCCTAACATCAATACCCTGGAAGATAATGGAAAAGATAATAAAAAAACAGATCTGCCAGCATCTAGAAAGGAGTAAAGTAATAACTGGAACTTAGCATGGGTTTGTTAAGAACAGATCATGCCAAACTAACCTTATTTCATTCTTCAACATAGTGACTAAATTAGTAGACCAACAAAATACTATGGACATAATATACTAAGACAAAATATACTTAGACAGCAAAGCATTCGACAAAGTAGACCACAACCTACTTCTTGTAAGCGAGAAAAAAGTGGGATAGATAGCATCATGGATTTACAACTGGCTGACAAAGCACACTCCATGAGTGGTCTTTAATGTATCTAAGTCTACATAGAGGGAAGTAAGCAGCAGGGTGCCACAAGGTTCCATCTTAAGCCCATTACTCTTCAATATCTTCATTAACGACTTAGATAAGGGGATAGAAGGGGAATTTACCAAATGTGCAGATGATATTAAGCTGGCAGGAATAGCTAACACTTAAGAAGATAGGCTCAAGATCAGAGGTGGTATTCAGCAGGTTCTGACCAGTTCTGGAGAACCGGGAGCAGAAATTTTGAGTAGTTCAGAGAACCGTCAAATACCACGCTTGACTGGAGATTTTACAGTATCCTTCCCTTGTCACACCCACCAAGCCACACCCACAGAACCGGTAGTAAAAAAATTGAATCCCACCACTGCTCAAGATCTAGAACTAGATGGATCTTGAGAGACTCAAACACTGGTCCTTATCTAACAAAATGAAATTCAATGTAGAGAAAAGTAAGTCCTATACTTAGGCAAGAAAAACCAAAAGTACACATATAGACTGGGTGAAGCCAGGCTTAATATCAGTAATTGGGAGAGGGATCTTAGAGTCTTAGTGGACAACCAGCTAAATATGAGCCAGCAGTGTGCAGCAGCAGCCAAAAAAGCTAATGCAATCCTAAATTGCATTAACAGAGAGATACAATCAAGATCAAGTAAGGTACTAATATCACTCTAAAGCCTTAGTAAGATGACATCTAGAGTACTGCATCCAGTTTTGGTCACCACACTATGAAAAAGATGTTGAGACTCTAGAAATAGTGCAGAGAAGAGCAACCAGGATGATTGGGGGACTGAAGACTAAAACATATGAAGAACAGTTATAGGAACTCGGCATGGCTAGTCTAGTGAAGAGAAGAACCAGGGGAGACATGATAGCAGTCTTCCAATATTTGAAGGGCTGCCACAGAGAGGAAGGAATCAAGCTATTTTCTAAAATGCCTGAAAGCCATACAAGGAATAATGGATGGAAACTAATCAAAGAAAGATTCAATGTAGAAATAAGGAGAAATTTTCTGACAGTGAGAACAATCAACCAATGGAATAGCTTACCTTCGGAAGTTGTGGGAGCTTCATCACTGGAGACTTTCAAGAAGAAATTGGACTGCCATTTGTCAGAAATGGTGTAGGGTCTCCTGCTTGGTTGGGGGGGTTGGACTAAATGACCTACAAGGTCCCTTCCAACTCTGATTATCTGTTATTTATCTTTTATTTTCCTTTCCTTCCCATAGGAAGAGCTATGTTGTGTTTACAATAATGTATTTTATCTCTCTTCCTCAATCTCTCAATAAAGTAGAGAAAAATATAAGTAGTTTTGGTAACATACTTTCACAATGGTTTTTTTAAATTTAAATCTGAGATAAATTGAAAACAATGCTTTTACAGAAAAAATCTGCATAAACAGTCTTCCCATTAGAATAAAATTTAAAACAGGATAAAGTTTCTTTGTCTTCTAGTATTACTCAACTGAATAATATAAGAAATGATCTATGTATAAATATTATAGCATGCTAGTAGCTTTAATCCTTTAAATAAAATTCTATAGACATAACAATTATTAGTGTTGACTTTCTTTGGAAGGAGGTTGTTTTTAATAACTGAATTAAGTTATCTAAATTGACTGTTTCCCTGCTGCCAAGACTGCATGCTGGCTTGGGAATTTTTTTTTATTGAAAATCTTGTATTTTTTATACATCTCTTCAAGTGAGCAATGTGATTCCAGATTACAACATACATACAGTCATAGTTACATTTCCAGCTTTCTTATCTAGTTTCATATCAAATCATTAAATATTCCATTGATCTTTAAATATATTTTTGCTTCATGTTTTCCATTCATTAATCCAGTAACAAAAACATTTCATCCTAGAGCATATTTTCCACTCTTTATCCCCTATTATTTTCATTTCCAGCTTACCACCTATTTTATTTTACATGTTTTCTTCTTTTACTTTCTCAAAGCTGATGTATAGGAAACAAAAAACAAAAATAAAATAAAACTAATACATTAAAGATCCAAATACTATTTCCCTACAATCTACAATGAATCTTACATTTATTCCAGAGATATTCATATAACCATTTCATGTTTCTTCTTTGTTTCCGTTTAGCCAAATTTTGCCTATGGAATTTTATTTAATTTTCATTCATCACCTTTTTAATCATAATATAATAATCTCATTTCAAATACTTTACTTTACAATATAGTCATTTCTAATTTACCATATTCTTTGTTTTTCTAATATCCTTTGTATAATCAATTGCATTTTCTATTTCATATAATATGTATAAAAATTTTAAAAAATCATATTTCCTCTTTGTTTCCATTAACCAAATTTTACCTATAAAATTATGTTTAATTTTCATTCATCACTTTTTTAATCATAATACAACAATCCCATCGCAAATACTTTACAGTATAATCATTTATAGTTTACCATATTCTTTGTTTTTCTAATATCATTTGTATAATCGATCACATTTTCTATTTCATATTTAATATAATTATATGTAAAAATAAAAGGATTTAATAACAATAAAACCATCGTAATTTCTCTTACTCTATCATCATTTTTCTCATATATAATTATATAATATTCTTACAGTGAGGTCTTATCCCCTTTAATTCCAATTAAGCTTATTTCTTTATTTTTGAAAGTAATTCCCAGTAAACTTTAAACTTCAAAACTCTCCAATCTATATTTCTAAAAAAGACCAAAATACATTTCCATGTGGAATCACCCCTTTATTTTATGTTTAACCATTATCTCTTAGTCTCTAGGCCCTATATTTTCTTCTAATTTTAGTCAGTTTTCCCTTTTCTACGTTTTCCTGGTCCTTTCTCTTAGCTTCTCTTTTTCCCCCTAATATTATTTTTGTTTTCATCTCCCATTCACTTATTTTCCCCATCCCTCTCCTGATCTCTCTTTTGTGATTTCTTCTTATATAGCTTCTTCTTCTTTTGTTTAATCTTGGAAATATTTTCCCTTTTGTTTATCACATCTGTCATCAAAGTCTTAGTTCTAATTCCTTTCATGTCTTTTTGCAATGTCCATTGTTCATTTTGCTCTTTTGCGCTGGTTTCCTCTTTCTTTAACTCCTCCTCCTTGGACTTTCTTTGTTCTTCTGTGAACTGCATTGCCATTTCTAGTTTTTCTGCCAATATATCCCATAGTTCCATGCTTTCTTTTATTATCCCCCTCACATTTTGCAGTCTGAGTTCTTTGCACATTTCATTCATTTTACTTATTCAATTGAGTTATTCTATATTTTATTAAAAGCCAGCATCTTCTATTTTAATCTTTACCAAAAGTATCCATTTATCTTAGTTTCTCTTGTTAATCCTTCGGTTTTCTTGTCACAGTCCCAATCCACCAAACAGTCCCAAGATACTATCTTCGCTTGTCCCTTTGCTGTAATCTTTGTGCTTCTGGGGTTGTTATTTTAGTCTTTTATTTCATTTCCCATTCACGCATTTACTAGACCAGTAGTTTTCCATAAAATCGTAAGAAAAAAGTTCTTTTAACCATTAGGTGGCGCTCTTACATCAATTTTCACTTTCCACTTTTTAAAGTTCTTTTTTTCTTTTTTCTCTCGCTTGTATTCTGCTAATTTTCAATCATTAGCTATTATATCTGTTAAATGTAGTCAATTCCAACAAGTCCAGCATTTTAATCAATGCCTAATTAATGCCAATTTCTGTATAACATTCCAAATTTAATTTCTGATTCTGTTATTGTTTAAAAAGTTTTCTCTGAATAATATCATTTCCGTTTCAGTCCTTTTGTAGTCCAAATTTATTTACCTTCTAATTTTCCTCTTACTTTCCAATCGTCACTTCCACAATCTTAAACAAGGGCTCTTTCCTTCTATTTCTCGGGGTTGCCTTGAAAAAATCCCGTCTTCAGGGCAGCCATTAAAGACTGTCCCTAAAGCCTGTCTGCAAGGGGAGTGTACCTAGCTAGGGAGGGGAGATGGGGCTCCCCTTGAACCAGCTGGTAGTCTCCACCTCTTTCACCACCCCTCCAGGGTGGATCCAGTTCCAATTGGGACACTCCAACAGGTAAAGCACAGATTGAAGCCGCACACGATCGTGGTCTCTGATCCATCTTCAACGGAAGTGCCACTGGAAGTCCGCTGGCTTGGGAATTTTGAGAGTTGAAATCCACAAGTCTTAAAGTTGCCAAGATTGGAACCTGTATTCTAGAGATCATTGGTGTTCTTGTCCTATAGATCTGCCAATTTTGCATTGCTAGAATTTTGTTTTCCAATGCACCCTTGGTTTCATTTTTTCTTATTAATTTTACCTAATATGGCTGTGTCTGATCTTTTTCTATATTATTCTAAGAACATATGCCTCTTTTCTTTAATAACTTAGCCATATCACAATGAAACATTTTATGAATTAGTATACTATACTTGTTACTTGAATGAACATCCATTTGTTCTCTATCTCATTAAAATAGATTTACAAATAGTTACAAATTGGATACTGTGAAGATATATCACAAACTAGTTAAAAATTCTTTATTGGAATGCATATATCTGACCTTACTAAGCATTTTACTGAATGTTCTCTGCTTGCCTTTGGATGTATTTTATGTCTTTTCGTTAATAGCCATTGTTGCTTAATCAAAAAAATGTACATATACATTGCAATGTAAACCAAATAAACTTGAATGATAATGTAGTACAAAACACATTTTGGGGAAGTATGTTGTCATAGGCAGAGGAAATATGGAAGCTATTTTTATTTTATTTTAAATTAATTTTCAGTAATATTTAAACACTTGTTTGAGACATTTTTGTTTTAAATTTATACTATTTTTATTTTCTCATTTATCACTAGTACCTTGAGCTCAGCATTTTGTTTCTTTAGTCCTTCCACTGTATAAGAAATATCCTTCCATGTTCCAACCTTCATTTTGGCACATTCTAGTATTTGCTCAGCTTCTTGCTTTGCTTCCAACCATTGTGTTGAATCTTTCAACATTTCATGTAACTGTTGCCTTCGGTTCTGAATGTGACCTTGCACTTCATCCCACTGGTTTTGTATTTTTTCAACTGTGGGAAATAAAGGCAAAAATAAAATATGTCTCTTTATTTGCAAATACTTATTTTAGTGAATTAAAATAGAAGTTAAAAAGCCTGCTCTTGATTATGTTCAAAATTAAATTATTTCAAATTAAAATCTCAATCTAGAATTTTAAATTGTATTTGTTGAATTAATTTTTCATAATGACATTATTATATACCGTGTTTCTCATATAATAAGGCCGGGTCTTATTTTTTTTTGAGCCCCGAAAAAATGGCTAGGCCGTCTTTTTGGGGGTGACTTAATTCCCCCCCCCTTGCATCTTCAGGCAGGCAGGCGGCGATGGCTTGGATGTTGACCTCGGCGTTGGTGGGGCACTTTGTATTGGGGTCAACGCAGGCAGCACTATATCCGGGTATGCAACAAAAGTACTTCCTAACGGCAAGCCCCCCCACCACCATTCCCCCATTTCGCATGTTTTAATATAGGCCTTAATTTGGGGGGGGGGCTTAATTTCATTTCATGCCTATAAAACATGCTGGGACTTCCTATTGGGGGAGGCCATATTGTTGGAGAAACAGGGTAATAATGACAAAACTTTAGGTAAGTAAGAATTACATTACAGGAGTATGATTTGAATATGGTGTACACTCACTGTGATTATTTGAAATCAGTTTATTATTTAAACATATTTCAATTAAACAAGCTATGAACTTCAATTGGTTCAGAAAAATGAAGAGTTTGAAAAATAATTCATCTTACTATTCTAGCTGTTCCACTAATTAAAAATTGTGTTTGATAAGTTCATTATTCAAAATTTAAAAGTCTTTATAAAACTGGAATTTTTAAATTATTAACTCAGAAGTGTACATAAAAAAAGTATTTGTCACATATTTTATACATATTAATGGTTCTATTTTATTATGGAAACAAACAATAGCCTTTGAAATAAAGAAAATAAGTAGAGAAAATAATCCCTTTTGATAAAGCCTGGAACATAATTTTATGATTAATTATGAACTATTTGGCACAATATAAAATATGATTCTTTATGCCAGGGGTGTCAAACTCATGTCACGGCGTCATCATGTGATGTATTAAGACTTTTTCCCAGTTTGCTAAACCATGCATGGGTGTGGCCAACATGTGAGGCATCTGGCGCATGGGCCGGGAGTTTGACAGCCCTGCTTTATGAAAGTATAGCACAGTTATAGTTGCCTTAATTGTTTTCTAAAGAGCAAAGAAAAATGTTTTTGGTTGTGGATTTGTAAAATGAGCATAAAATAGTTGAAAAATGTAGAATCTGTTATAAGCATAAATAAGGGAACAGATAATAAATGTATGAAAACAGTTTTATGAATTTAATCATTAGAAAGTTGAGTCACATGAATAAGGCAGTATCATTCTTAAAGACAAAAAGCAAATACATCCATGTAAAGGAAAGACCAGGCCAACAATATTGATATATTTAAGAAAAAAATATGTAAGAGTTTCCCATCATTTCTTTGAAACACAATGTCCTTCACAGAAAAGAGGAAAAATTGACTTTGGGAATTGAACAAAACATAAATGCATATGAGAGAGATTGAGCAAATTGATAATATGAGACAGCAATATTACTAATGTACGACAAGAGCTGTGTGCTGAAACATGTGTAGCTCAGTTCCAATCACTCTCAAATGAAGGTCAAAGGCACATAAAATGGTTACATGATACAAAATGTAAGTTGTATGTAGAAGCTGTCTGTTTGAAGGTCTGACATCTACAGTTAAACCCTGGTAAGCACTGGAAATAAACCCTCTGAGGCTCTAAGAACAAAATCTAATCACAAGAAACAGTATAAATATGTATATTTATATACATATTGGCAGTATAAATGCCATGAAATTTGTAAAAGAAAAGTATATTAATAACAAAAATATCAGATAACAAAGAGTATATAGAATGAGAGAATCTATTTGTCAGGGTTCCAGTTAACACACCAAATGGAATCAGAACTCCAAGCCAGGCATATTCCTCAAAATATAGATTGATTAGGGATGTCATATTGGCAAACCTGGGGAAAACTCGACTCTGAAGGACCTGAGGTTTTCCCCACCCAAAACCTCAAAGTACTTTCCCCCAGGTCACACATCCATCATATGGTCAAATCAGGTTCCAGCCCCAATCCTGACTGGCTTTGGTCCATGCCTCTCCAACACCTGGTAGGGCGTCCTTGTCTCCCACAGGAAAGAATGTTATTTTGGCTGCACATCCCCAGCTAGTGCTACCTCCCTCTTCATGTTCCCACAGCTCCAACCGGTCTTGCTGTGGCAGCCCTGAAGATGCTTCCAAAACAGTTTCAGGACTGACAGGCTGCCCTCCCTCAGTTGAGAAGGACCTCCTGCAAGAGAAAATCAAAGGGAGGTTAACCTGTGTCAGCATCAACCTCCTCTTCCCCTCCCACAAGGTGGCCCTTTGATTTATGAGGGTATCTCTCATGGAACTGCTTAATAAATCTGTCACCTTTTACATCCCAACTCTGGACCCAGATGGCTTCAGATAGGGGGTAAGTGGACAAGGCATTGCAAGTGACCCCTATGCAAGTGCAAGTCTAAAAAAAATTTCACCTTGGGTCTCCCCTTGTACTACAATGGATTTTGGGGCTGTCCGGTCTACTGAGAGCTTGTGGCTGGCTTTATCAGACTGCTATGAAACACTGGATGCACTTTTCCTAACAGGTGTGGGAGTCTAAGCTGAACAGTTCCCTGGTTTATCACTTTCACTATTGGTAATGGCCCTATGTACTTCAGACCCAGCTTTTTACTTAGTAACTTTAGTTTTAGATACTTTGTTGACAAGTAAGCTTTGTCTTCAACCTGGGAAGGAAGATGGGGGGAGCGATGTTTGTTGGTTTTCTTTTTATAGTTTTTTGCCACTTCATCTAGGGCTCACTTTGTATCTTCCCAGCCCTGCTTTAGTGATCTCATCCATTCAGAAATGGTAGCAAATCCACCCATTTAGACTGTTGCTAGTCCATGTAGCACATAAGGTACTGTTCTACCATGGCTTGTTCCACTGCTCCATTTGTGTTTGGGTGAAAAGCCAAGCTGAGCCCCTGGGTGGACCCTATCACCTGTAGGAATTCTCTTCAGAATTTAGTGGAGAAATGGACCCCCTTATCTGAAACAATTCTGTGGGACACCCCATGCAGTCAATATATCTACTTAATGAACATCTTTGCTAGCTTTTTGGCTGAGGATAACCCAGAGCAGGCTGTGAAGTGGGCTTGCTTTGAAAATCACGTTCCTGCCACTCTCTGGGAGCTCAGCTCCCAAAATCGTGTTTCTGCCATTCTCTGGGAGCTCAGCTATGAAATCCATGGCAATCTCCTCCTAGGGTCGGCTTGGGTCTGCCACTTGTTGGAGGAGGCCTGAAGGTTTCCCAGGTCTCTTCAAGTGGCACAGCTTTTTACATAGTCATCCAGATCTGCTTTCATCTTCAGCCACCAGAACTACCTCCTAGTTAAGTGCAGGGTCTTCAAGTAGCCAAAGTGTCCAGCAAGCTTGGAATTGTGACTGTGCTGCAGGACTTGAAGTCTCAAGCTGGTGGGGATGAACAACTTAGCTCCCTTCCAGGCTAGTCCATCTTTGAGGGTCTAGGCATCCTTGTTGTCATTGAACCACGGGTCTGTTGGGAGCACTGTCTTCAAAGGTCCTGCCATTGGGTCCCCTCCAGGGCTGTCTCAATGCCAGGCTTGGCCTTTAGTGGTGGCTTGAGCTGCTGGTTGAAAGGGAGAGATGATGGCCTGGATCACAACTTTGCGATGGCTGTTGAACTGTGGTTTTCTGGACAAGGCATCGGCAAGCAGGTTCTTCCCCTCTGGGATGTATTTTAATTCGAAGTTGAACCATTTGAAGTACTGTCCCCAATGGACTTGTTTGGGAGTTTTCGGGTTTTTTTTAGGGCTTCCAAATTCTTGTGGTCAGTCCAAACCTCAAACAGTATCCAGCTCCCCTCTAGGAAGTGTCTTCAGGTGGGAGGGCCCATCGGACAGCATAGACTTCCCTATCCCACACAGTCCACCTCCTTTCAGTGTTAGTGAGCTTTTGGAAGTAGGTGCAGGGTTGTAGGCCCTGGGCTTTGGTTTGCAGTAGCACTACTGGTACAGCCATGTCACTGGCATCAGCCTAGACAACAAAGGGCCATTCAGGATCAGGGTGGCTGAGGATGGGCTCCTCAATGAACAGTTTCTTCAGTTTCTCAAATGCTGGTTGGCAATCCAGGGACCAACCTAGCAGCTGGCTGTATCACGGCTTAGGGGCTTCCGTTGTTTTCAGTAGGTCTGTCAGTGCCACTTCAGCAAAGATGGGGATGAACTGCCTGTAAAAGCTGGCAAACCAGAGGAAGCTTTGAAGCTGTTTACAGGTGCATGGAGGTTGCCAGTCTAGCACCACTTTTACTTTTTCTGGGTCCATTTTAATTTCTTTGTTTGACACTCAGTAGCCCAGGTAGTCTAGGGAGGTCTTGTGGAACTCGCATTTTGATAGCTTCATGTATAGTTTAGGCTGCTAGGAGTTTCTTCAAGATCTGGTGCACTAATTTAATGTGCTCTTGTAATGTCTTACTGAATATGAGAATGTTGTCCAGATAGAGTAGGCTGCCCTTGTAGAGGTGCTTACTAATCAATTGCATGAATACTGCGGGGGATCCCTGAAGTCCGAACGGCATCACTTTACACCAGAAGCTGCCTAGCAGGCAGTTACAGGCTGTCTTCCATTCATCCCCCTCTTTGATTTGCATTTGGTAATAAGCCTCTCTTAGGTCTAGCTTCGCCTTTGCCAGGTGGCTCAACATGTCCTTCATCAAGAGCAGGGGGTAGGTGTTTTCCATGCACACTGCAATAATTCCTCTAAAATCCACGCAGAGCCTCATCTTTTTTCTCTTTAAAGAGTACTGGGGCGGCTACACCAGGAGTGGGATGCTACCAGTTCTGCCTGGCTCTATAGAACTGGTAGCTCTGAAGAGCAGCAGATGCCGAATTGGTTCT